ATTTCTACGTTGAATGACCGGATGGACGACTTCACGTCTATAATGGAAGAACTTAATTCTAAGTTGTGCAGCAGAAGAGCTTCTCCGAGAAACAAACAAGCTTCACCATGCATACAAAATCTGACGTTAGAAACTGAAGCATGCGTTGGATCTGCTCCTACTAACTATTTCATCTCTGGTTTGGAGAACGGCTCGTTGACTGGGTCCATCATGCCTAATTCCTCATCTTTTACTTCCACTATTGGAAAGGAGTCTACCTTGATGGAAGAGGTAAGTTTTTTTTCTTGGGCTTAAAATTTTGAATGAGTTGAAAATTTAAATTCTACAACAACAACAACAACAACAACATACCCAGTGAAATCCCACTAGGTGGGGTCTGGGGAGGGTGGAGTGTACGCAGAACCTGCCACTACCTTGTAGAGGTAGAGAGGCTGTTTCCGAGAGACCCTCAGCTCAAGTACATCAAAACCAAGTAACAGGCGAGGAAAACATTGTGTAAAACATCACATCCAATAAGAAAGATAGTTATAATCAACAAGGGGACAGCAACATCAGTAAAACAATGAGAGAAGTGAAACGCAATAAAAACCAGAAGGCTATATGTAACACAAACAAGACCTGCAAGTGTAAGGCAAGGACTACTACAAACGCTAACAACCCATACTCTCGCAAGGGAGGACAACACTCTAGCCCTACTAACCTACAACCTTAATACGTGACCTCCACGCTTTCCTATCTAGAGTCATGTCTTCGGTAATGCGAAGCTGAGCCAAGTCCTGTCTAATCACCTCTCCCCAATACTTCTTAGGCCTACCTCTACCCCTCCGCGTACCCTCTACAACCAGCCCCTCACACCTCCTCACTGGTGCATCTGCGCACCGTCTCCTCAATTATTTAAAGACAAAATAGAGCAACATAAAGAAAGTAGTTTTTGAAAGCATAGAAGCAACAAAAACGGAAAGTAGTTTTTGAAAGCATAGAAGCAACAAAAACGTTGTAAGTCTGTTATTAATTGATCATTAGTTAAACCTGGCTTGCAACTACACTCATTCTCGCTTGAAAGGACTAAGGAGCGCAATGATCATGACTAACCAAAATAAATAAATTATTCTCAATGATGGGATGCACTGAGATGGTTAAAAATTTGGCCTTTTACACAGCCATCTGGTATCTTCTCTAATACTTGCCTGACACCTTTTCCATAAAAAAATTAATAAAAATGCCTTACTCAGTCTGAAGGATGCATACAAAAGATGAATAAGACTAAGCTAAGAAGGTCAGCGACTATTGATATAACAAAGGTGCTTTGTGAGATCAATAAGGAATCAAAGAAGAGAAGCACTTCTAATATTCATCATGTAGGGCCTAATTTTCCCTTATAATAACCCCATGCCTGCAATGCTAAATTCTAATTAGTTGAATATGCGTAAAGTCTTAACACACAGATATAGGCCAATTTAGCAATTTAATTAATTTCAACATTTAGACAATTTCAATTATATATCCTCTTTTAGTCTTCCTCCTTTTTTCCTTTTGCAATTAATAAACACATAACTATTTTACATAAACACGTAATCAAACCTAAAACATTATGTAGTTGTATACAAACAAACAAATACCAAATTACCAATAAATGATCAGAATGACAATTTAATTGTGTGATCATGTATTCATAAAAACATTAGTTCATTACAATATATCAAAATTGGGATAAGGCACAAGTATCCCCTTAGACTATGACCGAAATCCCAGAGACACACCTTAACTAAACTAAGGTACTATTACCCCCCTAAACTCATTTTTCTGCAATTTTGTACACCTTTTGGCTTACGTGGCACACTCCGTGACTCCACGCAGTTGAGGCGCGTGGAGATATTTTGATACCACGTAAGCCAAAAAGGTGTACAACATTACAAAAAAAAAATGGATTCAGGAGTAATAGGACCTTAGTTTAGTTAAGGTGCATTTCTAGGATTTCGGTCATAGTCTAGGGGGTACTTGTACCTTATCCCTATCAAAATTACAATGAGGTGAAAGAGTTAAGCACATCAATAACAACCTAGCAACGTAAAAAGCAAAAAAAATAAACATAAAAGTAAATATTGTGCATGGCTGCGTCTGAGCCAGAGGGGACGTTCATGTCTGAAGTGGCATTGGCACACCACAGCTGAATGCCAGAAATAGCAGCAGCAAGATTGCTAAGAAGGTCCGAGCATGAAAAAATGAAACCCTAGGAATTTATTCTGGCTGTTGCACTTGTTCATTTTTGGGTTCAAAATGCCTGTGCAAAATGAAGTTTCTTTGCATTTTTTTTAATATGAAGCTGCTAGTGCAACATTCTGCACCTGTGTTTGAAGATATTATGGGTTTTAGGAAATTGAATCGGCTACATTTGCTTCGACGTGGTAAGCCATAGATAGTTTTTCTTTAAAAAGGCAATTCTGGCTATCATTTTGACGGTATACTACATAAAGTTTGTAGTATATATACATATATGTGATTAGGAAGGGAATGTATGACTTTTTTAACTTACTGTTACAGAAGATAACTAATTTATTATCAGATGAATATTTCCTTATTCCTGTACACTGAATTTGTCGCCTAAAGTATCTTAACCTCTTTGGTTGTTCTCTTATACATCCCTTTCGGATACAGATATCCAATATTGCACGTGGACAGCGTCAACTTATGCATCAGCTGGACAACGTTAGCAATGTTCTTCGCGAGAGATTAGGAGAACAGTCTCGACAAGCAAGAATGAACAAGACAAGGGATACAATCAAAACCATCAGAGAACCTCTCATTTTAACATTAGCAGTTGGTGGCCTGGGAATTCTCTTGTTTAAGAGCCTCCAACACCGTAACTGATTCTTCATTCTAATATTTTTACTGTAGGATTTTTCTTTTTCTCCTACACAGCTTACATTTTTTCATAGCGTTGTACCCTTCAATCGGGATAAAATACTGCTCATGGATCAAACTGATCTGTGATTTTGAGGCTAAGAAGGCAGAATGTGATGCTTTCTGATTGATGAGTTTTGTTAAAGAAGGGAATGAATTAGAAAATTTTGGGTTCATTTAATAAATATGTTCTTCACTATATGTTTTGGAGTTTCAGTGTGTTTTGACTTTTGATGTGTGTGATAGTGAATAAGATTAGCAGCCTCTCAGCGCTCAAGATGTAGACTCAGAGAGTGACACTAAAGTCTCTAACGGTCAATGGAGCCATCTGAATATTATAATGATAAATCTAACTTGTCCACCTGTTACACCTAATTTAACACTATACAAGAATACTCCAATTCTTCCCAACCAACTGAAAGGAGGTTAGGTGAAAGGAGAAATCGTATTAAACCAGCAAATGTCAAGTTGGCATAAAAGACTCGTGAGGAAAATGACGTTTCCTTGAAAAGTTAAAAAGTAAAGGACAGAGTCATCACAGTACTGAATCTCTGCTTTGGGAAGAACAAACATAAATGACAAAGTGGAACCAAACTAGTGTCCGGTACTCTTGGTGTCCAGTACTCATATTGAAGTCTGATTATTCATTCTGAATTCGTGTCAGATAGGGTCTTATTTGGAGGGTAGTGTTCAATGGCGTAGCCACATGGTGGAATTGGACACCCTTGGTCGGAAAAAAAAAATCATATATACAAGTAAAATGATACACGAAATAATTAAATAACATATTTTGGACACCCTTAACATAACAAACTATTATAGTCCAGTGGTTTCACCTCCTTGGAATGAGGAAGTGCTCGTGTGTTCGAATTTATTGTGCTATTTCTGGACACCCTTTGTAGAATTCCTGGCTCCTCCACTGGTAGTGGTAGTGTTCTCTACCAATTAATAAACAACACTATGGGTCTTTATAAAGGATGATTAATGTCTTAACTGAAAAATTAAATGATTATGAAAAGGACAATTAGTTAGGCATGAAAATGGTTTAAAGCAGCTATCAGCTCAACATTTTTTACAAGACTTATTTGGTACAAGTCATTACCATAAAACTCAGTTTGGCCATTTGCCATAATTAAGTTTCTTCAAGTTATTCTCCAGTTAATTAAAAGCTTAAAATAATAATTAATAGTATAAATATTTTATCATTATATTTATATCAATTGATAGTATATAATTGTCATACATAGGATACTTCAATAATTATGGAGTTACAAGTTGAATTATTTTAAATCTTACCTGTTATTAAATCTTTTCTTTATTAATAAAATAATTATGTAGAAACAAAATTTTAAAGTATCATTAAACAAGAAAACGTATATTCTATTATCTCCTCCCACTTTCAACCGCTAAGTTTTTGTACCTGGCTTAAATTCCTAGTCGTAGATTGAAGATACCTCTTTCCTTTAATCTAATCCAATCAAGTTCCAAAGTCATGTACCCAATCTTTTAACAGGGATGGTCCTTCCTACTCTAAAAAATAAAACAAGAAATATTTAATTTAAAATAAATAGAAAGCCTATAGCAAGATATGCCTAGAAAATAAATAACTACTATTGGTCAGTAATAAAAGAACATCTAGGACATGACTCTATTATATACCCTTATAAGGTAGCTAATAATTTTTACCTTATGTTGTGTATTGTGTTCTGATTATCAAACTATTTTGTTGTTGTTATTGTTTCGTTCTTTCTTCTAGATTTTCTCTAACTGTTATGTTTTCTTTATTTGAATTCCATGCTCTTGAGTTGAGAGTTATTTGAAAATAATCTCTCTACCTCATTGAGGTAATGATAAAATCTACGTACACTTTATATATTCGGATAAAATATGCTCCTCCGTAAACGTGATTTCACTAGTAAGAGTAATACTAGGTGTGCACCAAAATTATACTTATGCACACTTAAAATTGAAGATATAGAACTGATGCGAAGTTAAAAAGTAGATTTGGGTGGGGGTGCATAAGTGACGTGATGTGGAAAGCACCTCATAAACCTCATTCGAAGTGACTTCTTTTCAACTCCCGAGGCTTTCACCTTCACTGTCACTCTCCAAACAGATCTCATCTTCCACAGACACACTCTGCTCTTTTTGTTCCCCTCAATCACCATATTATGCTAATTATATATGCATTATTAGCATTTCTCTAATGGATCCTCATTCTACTATAATGAGTGCCTTTCAAACTGCGCCTAATTTGGCGGAGATCTGGCCCTATCAGCATCTTCTCGACCACACAACAAATCACGCCGCCAGAAAGCGACGCGACGATGATGAATCTGCCATTGGAGTTTCAACTAGTGCAAATGCTTTGGTATGTATATCTCTGTTAACTACTTTATTCATTGTTCAGTTGCTTCACTACTTCTGTTAGCTCCTTAATTTGATTGTCACTCTCAATTTCTGCGGCATAGTTTGGTCAATGAAATTTTCTAGTTTTTTGAAATAAAATTTTTATATTTGAAAATTACAGTCCGATAATTACAATAACTGACAATTGAAAATGTTTTGAAGCTATAATGAAAAAGTTGCCACATAAATAAGGAGGAGAAAGTAAATTGCGTAATAGTTGGAATAAAAAAAAATTGTGTACTTTGACTGATTTATAGATAGTTCTGGTATGGTACAGTATTTACTACTCCCTTAGTTTCAATTTGTTTGATCTATTTTGACTTGATACAAAATTTAAAAAAATAAAGAACATGTTTGAATCTTGTGGTATAAAATTGAGGATATATCAAATGTAACAAAATGTGCTTTGGAAAAGTTGAAATTAAAAGAGTTGCTAGAAAAAAGAGAGGAAAGGCTTAGTTTTTTTAAAACAAACTAAAAACAAATTGAAACGGAAAGAGTACTATTCAATTGGCTAGGCAGTCTAAGAGAGTTTCTGTTATTTTATCTAGCTGATTGATCTGCTAAATGCAAAAAGCTGGTGAAGACTGAATAGGGTAGTACTACATTTGTTATTGATTTTAATTTCCTGTTTCTTGGTGCAATGTTTCAGCTTGTATAAGTGGACCTTAGCTTGTTTGTAGTTGATTTATATCAGATTTTGGGGTAATATGTATCAAAATCTTGTGGTCTTTATTGTTCTTATATCTGTTAGTATTTCTGGTGATTGGAGCAGACTGAATCTGATAGTAAGCGGCTGAAGGCCACGAGATCAAACGAGAATGGGGAATATTCAGGAGGAGGGAATTCAGGAAAATCTTCAGACCAACCTGCAAAGCCACCAGCTGAACCACCTAAGGACTACATCCATGTGCGAGCGAGGAGAGGTCAAGCTACCGATAGTCATAGCCTAGCAGAAAGAGTAATTCTACCTATAACTCTTTCTTAACTTGAATAAGTTGTTCAATATTTGGTATTAAATGATGGTAATTTGTAATCGATAATGGAACTTGTTGATACATTTGGTTTGCAGGCCAGAAGAGAAAAGATTAGTGACAGGATGAAAATCCTACAAGACTTGGTCCCTGGTTGTAACAAGGTATATTTTTTCTTTATCTTTCTACTGTGTCGAAAAATCTGAAGCAATTACCTCATTCTGATGATCAACTGCTTCTCCATTTGTTCTTTTATTAGTTGTTAGATGAATCTGAAAATATATACTAATAAGAAAAATCGATAATTTCTAATACCTGAACGATTGATATACCTTTTTGTGGTTTTGGACTGTACTACAGAGTTGTCTCTATCTTTTTGTTGAAGATGAAAGGGTTAAGTTTCACTGGCAAAGCCTGCTCACCTAGTCCTCCTTTTCAAACTGAGTCAATGTAGTACTCCTTAGTTGATGTCTCAATGACATCAACTTCGATATATAAAATACTTCATCTGTTCCAATTTATGTGACATTGTTGGTATTTCGAGAGTTACATGAGTTTTTCTTTTGATCACATTTTTTGAATTGTTAATTATGTATTATCTTTTTACGTAGTTTCCAAATATATAAATGATATTTCACAAAACCTAAAGAAGAATTCACTGTTAAAATTAAGAAGCTCGACTTTCAAAATATGGAAGGACAACATAAATCGGAACAAAAGGAGCCGTAGTTAGCGAATTTCATATAGAGTGCTCATGCAAGCAAAGCCTTGGAACTTGTCTTTCTTGCTTATCATTATGAGCAACTCTTTAATTTGTTGAAAATTTAGTTAAGTGGATGCAAAAGGCTATCTGTTTGAACCACTTGTTAAAGCAACAACATGTAGGTTTCATCCTATTGTTCCATGTCAAAGGTCTATACTTGACCTCAGAACTATATCGGCCTTCTTACCAGCAGAATGCTCTCCTGCATTTGTTGGTGTTAAGAGAACCCTCTAATTCTACATGCATCCATTTGTCAGGATGCATGAAGTGTAATGAACCTAATGTCTCTAAATTACCTGCATTTCAGCCTATGTCATTGATTCTGATTTTAACATCTAATTTCTTCAGGAACATATAGCGGAATGAACTGATGTCTCTAAAGTTACGTGCATTCTAGCCCCATCGCTGGTGCTAGGATGGTAGAGATTTAAACCCTTATTCTCTTCACATAAATTAACATCAAAATGTGAATTCGATTAAATTATATGTATCTTGTACTTCTGAATGCAATGGGAAAAGTCAGTTTAATGTTGTTTGGTTACAGGTTATTGGAAAAGCTCTTGTCCTTGATGAGATAATCAATTATGTCCAATCATTACAACGCCAGGTTGAGGTATGCTCTCCACCTATCTTGTCTAGTTGAGACTTCTATAGTACGAGTAACATTTTTTCTTGATTCCTCAGTTCCTATCAATGAAGCTTGAAGCAGTTAATACAAGAGTAACCCCAACCATCGAAGGAATTCCTACTAAAGACGTAAGTGTTGTATGACAAAATCTTTGTAGTAGTTGAATTCATTTCTTTGTTTTGCATGTATAATCTTGTTTGTCAAGCACTGTTAACTCCACTAGAACCTCATCTATCTTCTAAACTTACTAGTACTAATTTGCAAGAGTGAACTGTATGGCTTTCTTTGATATCTGTCCTTTTCATGCCATAACTCTCTGTCAACCTTGAATATAGTACATGACTAACATTTAAGTTAGTATATTTTTCGGCATAGTGGCCATGTGCTCACATCTAGCAAACTGTGAGTTCTGAGTCTGGCTTGGTACTAGCTCCTTGAATGTGTAATTAGTGATTAAATAATAGCACCCCACATTTCTGGAACTTGGCTGAAAACATATTGATGAATGATTTGAATGTTATGGATATTCAAGCATCTCGTTTTACAAGTTATACCTTAAGTTAGAAGATGAGCAAGATTGCAGTGAGTGTGGATAAGAAGAACCCACGACATCATTTAGCAGCACATAGAAATTTAGCTCCTTGTAAAACTAAGTGAGGGGTAAACAATCAAAGTAGAAACTGTAAAGAGAAAAGAATATATTCTAAGATCTGAAAAAGAGGAAAATGCATTCATTGATTTCACAATGTAAGATAGCACTAGATTAGTACTTGGGTAGAGTTTTCCTCAAGTTTCATTCTCGGACGAATACATAACAAAGTGCTTTGGTTTTCCAGTTTGGGCAGCAAACATTCGAGACAAACGCTATGGCATTTGGTTCACAAGGTACAAGGGAATATGCTGGGGGAACATCACCAGACTGGTTGCACATGCAGATAGGTGGTGGATTTGAAAGAACGACATAAAGTAAATAATTGGAGGCATCAAAGGCTAATAAATTCTTAGGAGGCTAATGCTTCCCCCAGGACCTGCCAAAATATATAACAGTTCCTTGATTTATAGGTAGATAATAGCTTGTTTCTGATCAGGAACAGAGTTATTGTATGTCATTAGGACACCGCGAACCAAATCACCATCTCCTTGTGTAATGAACACAAAAACTTTCCTCCTTTAATTTAACAGAACATTTTCTTTCACAGCAACTGAAACAAAAATGCTAAATGAATAGTACACTGCTGAGAATGTGTATTTGACATGGTCAGCAAGGCATATCAAGAGGCTGTAATATGTGTCTGCTTGTTCTGAAAAGCATTCATATGTGCTGATTTGCTCTGCCAAACTATCACAACTAGAAAATATGAGCTTTAGGCAATAAACAGTTGTAAGTGTGCTGTGACGACATGAGTATTATATATAGTTCAGATTATAAGTGGTGTGTTAAGAGTTAAGACTCTAAACTATTCATTATAGAAAATTCCCAAGCATGGGAAGAAGGGCAATGAAGTCAAAAAGAAACTTATAAACACACTCTACTCCCTATAAAATCTGCTTTGATCTTCAAACATGTAAAATTCACATTGCCAAATTAAGTCACTATTACTTACAGAACAATCTAATGCTAATAACATCTTTTGTTTTTTAAGGAATTAATGATTAACCAGATGAAAGGTATGTGACTAGGCTCAATCATGCAGTGGGTTGTGTTCTGCCATATGAACTTCCACCACTGTTGAAATCTGAACCAGTAGACTGAAAGTAGGAAACAGCCGACCAGAGCACACGTAATAACAGAATTGCTACAAAGACAGCACCACCAAGTGAGCAGATCACCTAGAAGGACAGAACCATCGTCAACGTGCAGTAGCAGAGTTCAATTAAAGATCAATATTTCACCCACACACGAGCAGAAGTTGATCTATTTACCATAACCATGCTCTAAATTAGAATAGAAGACGTAAAAATGTTTTGTACAAAAACTTTCAGAAATTGTGATGTGTAATACTGTGATCTTCTTAAGTGGTTGAAGACTTTGGGCCATCAGTTAATGTGCGCATATGTTGGGTCAGAAACATGAAACAAGTGTTTTTTTTACAATCCGTCAACATCAGATAGAACAATCTAAACATGGTTGCATCCAGACATACCCTTGATTCATCTACTAGTAACTATATAGATGTAGATAAATTACTTATCCTCTGATGCTCAGTGAAAAGATTTTAACTTTTTCTTTTTCATCTTCCCATCTATTTCTTTCTCCCTGTTAGTACCCATCTATTTACACTTTCATTTTGCAAGTCTTATGGTTGATAACTATAATATCTCTTTTATATTGCATTCTTAGAATTGCATATCTGTTTTCTTTAATTAGTGGATCAAAGGCAGCTTGCATCCACAAAAGCAGCAGAAAGCAAGATTTGGTCAGCAGGTAAAACATTCGAAAAATGACATGGCAGAGGAATACCTCAAGAAATGCCTTCAAGATGGAGAGTAAAGCTAAAATTAGAACGCCATCAACAGCAAAAGTTACCTGCATTCCTCCAACAATGAGAACAGATGGAAGAGAGGATTTTGAACATAATTTATGTAAATAATCAACTAGAAGATCAAAACTAAGCAAAACACCGAAAACGCTAGTAGCCCAAAGATGTTAATAAAAGAAGAAACATTGTATTATAGATGGTGTGAACTGATTTGAAGTTTATGAAGGTGGATGGACTTATGTTGACATAAAAACACAAATCAACTTAACTTAGAAAACTAAGAAGCATAATGCTAACACATTTGGAGATGTGACAATTACTACCATGCAATGGGACAAGTCATTGCAATTTGGTTAAACATTATTTTCCCTTTTAAACAGGTGGCTAAAGAATGCACCCATCCTAGTTGGGAAACCAGGCGTATTCACGTTGGATGAGCTAGGAAATCTATGGACAATGCACAATCTCAGTACTAAAATTGGGCGTCAGTAGTTGGATGTGACATCATGTGATGACTATGTTTTGCAGGCTAAATTTTGAGAGTTAAAATCACCTCCATGCTTTTAAACACTCGAGGCACCACTATTTTAAATCTCATGTGTTAATTTTTGAGCTTGGCTAGGGTTCAATCTTGGGAGGAGGATCAATTGGCTTAGAACTGTAGTTGAGGAGCAACATTATATCGTGTGAAATGAAATCATCAGGCCTGGGAAATGTTCTGTAACGCCACATGCTAAGAGTGGGGATTATTGACAAGTGCACTAGAAGCAAGTCAAGGACTTAAGAATTACCCTCTTATGGTGATGCATAAGTTGGTTATGTTGACACAACCACAAGCCAAGTGCACAAACTTAAGAACTGAAATGTCCCTACTAGAGCAATGCTCAGTATGAAGTAAGAGGCAACCAATCGCCTTAGCCATTTACAGACGCACATACACAATTTAAGAGTTCCTTGCCATGAGTATTCTAACTAGTTATAGTCAAAGCTTCAAGCACGAAATGAGTGGCCTGATGTGATTCAAAAACCCCAGTGAATACAAGCTCTACCATGATGAGATTTTCATAGAGACGATGCTTAAGGCACTAGGAAGCATGATAGTATTCTGCTAATTTACTTTGAGCCCACGACCATGGCACCAGATTGTGCTAAGAAGGCTTGAGATGAGTGTAAACTGGGTAGTAGTTTAATGTGACCACAAGCCTTCAAGGCCACTGTCTCTGTAGGAGAGTTGACCTCTAACAACATTTATGTAAAAGGCAAAGAAAGCCCCTGCCTCCCTCTACACATAAATAAAAGAAAGCTTATCATTCAATCCGAACCAATGGCCACCATACATCTACAAAAGAACCAGAAGAATGCCAAGTTTTTCAGCATCCTAACACAGTCAATTACTTAGTCACCTCCCAGTCCAAGAAATATAGTTCTTTTTTTTATGACCGTGGTATCCGGGCCAGCTTTTGCGCACCTCGACTAATTTCATGGGATACATGTCACCTCCCACCAGCAACAACAGGTACTAGGTAACTCTGTCTACCAAGGCTAGGACAGATGGAAAGAATTACCTAGTGTGTTTTTTGTCTCCGCTGGGAATTGAACCTGAAGAAGTATAGGAGTTTCTAATTCGGATAGAATAAGCTGCACTATAACCTATAACATTATGCTTGTGCCAAGGAAAGGACACTGATTTCAGGAACAAAGTCATTTAGAATTCATTTCTCATACTTAAAGCACACAAAGTCGAAACCCATTGGATCAATTTATATGCTGAACAAATTAAGAAAGAGATAAAAGAGTGAGTTTGAAGATTTACAAGCTGTGGAGAAATGACGTCCGGTAGTATAGAACGAGTAGCTTTCTTAGCACGCTTAGACACCTTTTTGAACATACTCTGCACAAATCTAACTAGTAAATCAATACTGCTCTCCGTCTCCTCTTCCTCATCGCTCTCTTCATCATCATCTTCCTCCAATAATTCACCATCTTCAAAATTCATTCGGTACATCCTTTCAGCTGCTTCTCCAATCGATCCATCAAACTAAAAACACAAGCAAAAAATGGGATTAAATCAACAAAATTAAACGGGTCCAAATAAAGCAAAATGAGATCGACCTTGGCATGGCAAATTGTGAATCTGGGGTTCCGTAAAGGGGGAGCTAAGAAGTGAGAAATTGGAGAAAGAGAAGATGAAGTTATTGAGTATAATCTGAAGGAATATAGTGATGATATTGGCAGTACGGCAGCTCCCGCCATTCAATTTTCTGATGAGATTGATTCGTCCTCACTTTAAGATTCTGTAAATTTTGATAAAGAGACAACTATTGAACACTTTTTTATTTTTTTTCCCTCAAATTATTAGTTTCGTCATAATCTGATTAACTTAACTTAGATGTCTGCCGTATGACATAGCAAATAGTTTTGAATGGGAGTAAATTTGATGAGAATTTATGATATATTTCACTCATATTGCGAGATTCAAGGTGTGTTTGAGTTAATCAAATTAAGGAGTGTTTTTAAAATGGCCAATAATTCGGAGATGAAATTATTAATTCATGTCAAGGTTAGAAGTATTTTCAATACTTAAAAACACTCTTAAACTAGACACAAATTATTAGTTTCATCCCCATAATATTAACCGTCTTAAAAACACTTATTTACTTGGGTAACGGTCCCCTTAAATGGACATGAATTCACCAAAATACCTAGAGACTGCATCATGCATGTAATTAGTTGAACTTTATGAAGAGATGATTATCATCATGTTGATAACCAAGAGACGTAGAAGCTAGATAATTTTGTAGTACTTGTTGTGCATTATAAGAGTAATCTCACAAAATAAGAGTGTCATATTATTATTGTTTAATTTCCATGGTATATACACTTGCAACACACGTGCATATATATAACTTAAATACATCAAAATATTTGTCCCAAGGAGATAAATTTCATGATAAAAAGAGTAAATTAAAACTTTCTTATTTATTATTTCATAGAAATACAAACTGAAACGTCACATCCATACATACATAATGAAAACATTATTGCACATTTTATTCGAAAATACACACATATATATATTATTGAGAATTTATATTTTGAATGGTTGGACCAATACTTTAGTAATGATATCCTTTAGCTTGGTTTTGGAGTTTGTGTATATATCTTCATCCTTGTAGATGAGATTGATGGCCCTGGCAAAATTGAGTACACGCATGAGGACAAGCATGGGAGCTGGCATTGGTTGAAGGGATTCTTTATTTAAGTCTTGCCATGCATTGACAACAAGTTTCTCAAGCTTCACGTAAGCCTCTTGCTTTGAGCATTCAAATTCTTTTACATAGCTTTCAACTGCTGATGCTACATGTCCTCTCTCTTGTTCAAACTAAACACCACAAATTCCAATTAGTTAAGAAAGAGAAGAAACAACAACATGTTAATTTCGTTTGTTTGTCTGGTTTTGATGATCTATCAATGAATTCAAGAAAGTAAAACAGATTTTTCAATATTGTGGTCTTAAATTATAGATATGTAGAATCTACCAAAAATGATCTTTAGAGACAATTAACCAATGTCGGTAAAGATTGATCAACACTCTTTGTTAATGTACATATTTAATAATTGTCGTTAAAGACTGGTTTTGTTGTAGTGAGTGTGCCAAAATGTGTTTTACTTTTGTGGTGTTAGACATTTAATATGGAAAGTTAGAACTAAAGAATTGTCAAAAAAAGAAAGTAAGACAAACAAATAAACGAGTCAAAGTTAGCCAAAAATTGGCAAAAACAATGAGCATGGAAGTGGCAAGTGATAGGATAGTTTTTACCTTATGTCCAATCCTGTCATCCATCAATCTACAAACTATAGAAGAAGCTTTTACCATTAAAGGTTCACTTGTAATCCACTTAAAATTCTCCTCATTCACTAACTCTTCTTCCATACCAACCAATGAAGTTGTTGAAAGCATCATATAACATGAAGTTACCAGTGCAACTTTCAGATACTCCTCAAATGTTGGAACATATCCACTATGATACCACTTGAACTCTTGGTGATATGCTCTCACCAATTTCTTTAACTAGCATAATCAATGAGAAAAAAAAATCTTTATTAGTTTTTTATATTTTGGCAAATGACTGTTGTTTTCTCCGTCTCAATTTATGTGATGTACTTTGTCTATTTTAAAGTTAAATTGTTATAAAATATAGAAATGCATCATTCTTTTGGGATCCACTGACTAAAAATAAAAAGGAGTCACATAAACTGAGACAAAGAGTATTAATTTCCTATTGGTAACTTTCTATGTTATTGTTACCTCATTTTTTGCATAGTGAACTCGATAGGATGTGTTTTCCTTTGCCAACAACTCTTCCATTTCAGCATAAGTATCAAAAATATATTGGTATAGTAGCTTTAGGTATGGGGGTAGTTGTTGTGATGCATTTATGTCCCATCTGTGTAGTAAACAAATTAAATTCGAACCAACTCAATATTTACTCATATATCGCTCAATCGGTTAAAATAATACCATATATGTTGAAATTATTTCACCTTTGAATGGCATCCGTGAACATTTCAAGTTCATCATGTGTTCCATAAACATCATACAAATCGTCTAATATGGACGCAAGGGAGATTATTTGGGTTGTAAATCTTCGCGCCCTACAATATTGTGACTCAAAGTACACTCCTATCATCCAAAAATAGGCTTCTACCAAACGATCTCGAGCAAATGAAAAGTTTTTTTCAACATTTAAACCTTTCCACCACCTAAATTTATTACAATAAAATTCAAAAAACCATATGATAAAAACCCCACTCAAAGTATAATATTAATATTTAAACATATATATGTACCTTGTAATGCCACTTAGCTCTTTTTGATGTAACTTTTGCAACATGTTGAAGTCTAGACGTGCAAATTGTAGTAGTACTTTTCTATGTTCAGGATTGTCTTGATACATATTTATGTATTGCCTTGCTGCTACTATTGCTAAGGTTCTACGAATTGGCATTTTTAAGGCATGGATTATATGTGTAACAACATATCCACTTAATTTAGGCACCATAGATTTAAGGCATTTGGTAGTGAAAACTAATGCTTCCTCTAAAATATTCTCTCCACTAATTCCGAGATGTGCTGCTTCATATAAACTCAAAATTCCTTTCACATCGCTAGCCAATTCTTTCTTGAAATTCCCTTCATCGTCCTTAAATCTTTCGAAGACATCTATAGAAAAACCAAAAGAAAAAAAAAACACTTTTAGTCTAAGTTATCTACATATTTCCCGCATGTTAGATATGGAGTTTGTTTGGATTAACGGATGATAAATATAGTTGATATATAGTTATAAATGCTGAAAAATATATTCAAGTATTGAAATATTATTTATAAAATAAGCAAATATGAAGCAATTGATATATGATTGGTTAAAAAAAGGTTGATAAGTTATTTTTTGTTAAAATGACTATACTACTTCTAAAAAAATTACAAAAAATGTAAATTTAGAAGTATAGATGGATACTAATGAAGAGGAAGTTGAGAGTTTTGATTTGTGCAAAGTATTTTGAGAATCATCAAAAACATTAAGCATAAAATAGTTTTAAAAAAAACTTTGAGCTTAAAATTGCTTATAAGAACTTATGACTTTTAACTAATTTTAATTAAATGCATAAATAAATTAAAATATATTTATAAACAAGTTTGACTAGCTGGTAAGCTTAGTCAAACATGCATGCAACAAAGAAGTTACTAACCACATGAGACATTATATCCATCTTGTCTTAGTAATCGAAATCGAAGAGCAACAATCTCAAGATTATTATCGTCATCAAATTCATCACAATTCATATTGTTGTAGATGTGTTTAAGTGATTCCTCAATTTCTTTTTCAAAATGATATGATACTCCTAATCGTTGGGTATTGTCAATAACCTCTAATAATTTTATTGTTGATGTATCATGATGAGCTTCTATTAACATCTTCTTCACTTCATCTCTAAGTCGTTCAACTTCTCCTTCTTCTTCATGATCAATATCCTTCAATTGTAGCAATTGAATAATAAGATATTTAGTTTCGTGCACAGTGAGCCAGAATTTTCATCAACAATGTTCAAAATGAAAAAGTAAATACACGAAAAAGATGAAAGGAGTTTAATATCAGATAATTAATTAATTACCGTAATTGAAGAATCATATGCAAGGAAATAGTCACCCCAAACACTTGGATGATAATCTACATATCGACGAGCTGATTTAGGAACATTAACATTGTTAATCTCCATTTTTTGTATTTAATATTTACTAAACTTGAACGTTTTGACTACTAATTAAATTGTAAATGTTGCTCTATTTATATTATGCATTGAACGTTTTGACTACTAATTAAATTGTAAATGTTGCTCTATTTATATTATGCATTTTGGCATGTCACAATTATATAATGGGTGTAAGGTAAGATTGAATATCTTCTTCTTTGAAGAAAGAGTATATAATTTGTTTAACTTGGAGTATTAATTTGTAAAATACTCTTTAAACAAAGTTGAAATATTATTTCACATTTTGTATATATAATAATATATTTTATTTTATTTTAAAGAACATTAGCTATTGGAGTGTAATAATTACTTTGGACGTATCATAATTCCGACGAGCATATCTTATAATAAGATTTGGAAAATTTCGTGTAGCTTACTTTTGGTAATTGGCACGCAAATCAAGTGAGACATGATAAAGTAAATTAGGGGTGTACATGATCGGATTGGTTCGGGTTTTTCAAATATCAAATCAAATCATTTGTGTAAAAAAATTAAATTTATAAACCAAATCAAACTAATAAAATTTGAATTTTTTTGGGTTTTTCAAATACCAAACCAAACCATGGTGTCGAAATTTTAAATTTATAAATCAAACCAAACTAATAAACCTTGAATTTTTTTGATAAAATTTGCATACAAACATATAATTAACTTGTACTCCAAATATTTCTTTAGTCCAACCAAAATACAATTATCTAAGGTGTTTCTTAAGAAAATAACACAAAAGATGAGATGAGTACTGATGACACTAAAATATTCAATAAAAAATAATAATGAAATCATCATATAAAATAAATATTGTAAATTCATAATGAAAATGATCATAATTTAAAATTACTAAATCATGCTAAATTAAGTTTAGTAAGTATTAGTTACATTACTAAATATTTAAGAAAATTAAAATTAGATTATTATTTTAATTGTCTAAACCAATGTAAAACTAAAGAACAAATATTCAATATTATTGTCATTCTTAGTTTTGAATTGATTTTCTCTTTGCAATAGTATTAATTTGATTTTGATTTAAGTTTATTATAATTATCATCATCTATGAACTATAATCTTTATTTGACCATTTCGAATTCTAAGTTTTAAACTTGAAATAATATATTAAAAGATAAAAACTATGAAATAGTATAAGAAATATTTAAAATTATATCAAAGTAAATATTTTTATGTATAAAATAAAATTTTAAAATTACATATATAATGTCGGGTTAGTTTGGTCTCGGGTTGGTTTTTTTAAGTTAAAATCAAACCAACCCAAATATAGTCGGTTTTTTTTTTTCAATACCAAACCAAGTCAAACCAAACCACTAGTCAGTTTTTTTTTTCGGTTTGACTCTATTTGCGATTTGATTCGATTTTCGATTTGGTTTTGTACACCCCTAAAGTAAATAATGTCATTATCTTGTCACATAAATAAAATTCGACCCTATATATTAAGGGGATAGTTAAAGTTTTAATTTGTGATGAGTAAAAATATTTTACGAATTCATTATTTACACGTGAATTGCATGTATGCTTCAGAGTTAAACACTTGAACTTAACAATCTTTCTTTTATAAATAAAGATTAAATATGGCATTTTTTTAATTATACATTAAGAATTATGTTCATTGCAAATAATGTTAAATTCAATTAAATTTTGGTTGACATGATGTATTAGGATTTTTGTGGTGTGATTTGAAGAGCAAAAAAAAGCAACATGAAAATAAAATGGAGGAAGCAGTCATGATTTTGTGGAGCTTATAGGAAGCCTTTAATAATTTATGTGGGAATAATAAATAAAGTGTGTATGTTGCCACTTAATTTGTACCGTGCGAAGAAGGAGTTAGAGGAATGGAGGAGTGCCAATTGGGGAGCTGAGATGTCTGTTGCTGCCGCAAATAATATGATTACTAAATAGGAACGGTCTTCGCTTGACACAATTAAATGTAATATCGATGTCTCTTACGATATCGATTAGGCGAATCTAAGCATGGTGCTACATGATCGCTTGGGACAATTTATTGTTGAAAAAATATATATATTTCTTGATCGTGTTGCTGGCGTTGGTCGAAATCATAGGAGCGCAAGAGACTCTTATTTGGCTAGAGGAATGATTCAGTAGAACGAGCTGGTTATAGAACCTGATAATTTACTTCTGAAGCAAGATCTTGAATTTTTTTTGGTGAGTTACTCTTATTTTGATTCATTAGTTTTTTATTGTAAAATTCTTATTAAAGAGTAACTTTTATTCTCTTTGTCGGCTGATACAGAAAAAAACAATGAATCAAGTTGCTTATTGTCTTGCTAGAGTATTTGTTTCTACGTCTGATTCAATGATGTGTGATACTGATCTTCAATATCTCATTACCGATGTATTCATATTTGATTTGAATAATACATAAAGAAAAAAAACCCATTTCTTAAAAAAAAAAGAAAAGAACCATATCTATAAATAGAAATATAAAATATATTAAAGTCCAAAATAAAACAACTCTATACATTAAGGACTATTTTGATAATTTTTTTTAAAAAATTAGGCTATTTATGTGAAAATTTATTTTGGAAAATAATTCACTAGCAGACACGTGTCACGGTGTCAGCATAGGTTTTATATTTTGACCTGGCGGAGCCACCGGAGAGGAATTGACGTGCATTTCCATTTCATTTGAATTTCATTTCTCTAATAATTACAAAACCTTTTCTATTTTTTTTACATTTTCAAATAGAATTGGGTGATTCAAACCCTAATTTTACTATTTCCGATGCTGAATCGGTTGTAATTTTTGAATTTTTAAGCTTAAATTTGATCTCCGGTACGTGAATTCGATTTTGATTGAAATTTGTGTGTAATATTTGTGTTTCATCAATTGATCGGTGTGGAATTCGCAGATCGGTGAGGAAAATGCCGTCGAACGCAGATGTAGATCGGCAGATCGAGCAATTGATGGAATGTAAGCCGTTACCGGAAGCGGAGGTGAAGACGTTGTGTGAGCAAGCGAGGGCTATACTTGTGGAGGAATGGAATGTGCAGCCGGTGAAATGTCCGGTCACAGTTTGTGGTGATATTCATGGGCAGTTTTATGATCTGATTGAGCTTTTTCGGATTGGTGGAAATGCGCCGGATACGAATTATCTCTTCATGGGAGATTATGTTGGTGAGTTTGAGATTTTGTTTTATGGATTTGGGAGATTTAAGATTTTGTTTTATGTATTTGTGTTGAATTTAAAAGTTAATGTCTTGGTGGTCTATCATCCTAAACTAGTTAGGCTTGGCTATAAATGACTTCTATGTACCTCGTTTATTTAGAGGATTCATTACAATTAGACTATATCCATGTTGGTTGGTATCTACCGCGATCGTTCACTTTCATCCTGTTTGTGAGGCTTTGCTTTTGAGTGTACATAGATGGAGTTTAGAGTTTGGTAGTTTATGTCTTAATAGATAGCTTAGTCATAGCTTACCCATTAGTTTTCTCATGTATGTAATAAATTTGGCCTAATGTTACTAGCTTCCCTTTTCATTACATGCTAATTTAGTTGCTTCTCGTCGATGTAAATTTTGTCCCTTTTTGGAGTGTGAGTGGACAGGCAATTCCCATAAGTAAGTTAGTGAAATAAGACTTTTCAGTAAATTACATTTTTTAATGAAATAATTTAGGTATAAAACAAAAGCATCCAGAAGATGTGGAGGTTCCAAAAAAGAGATGGAAATATCAGCCCAAAACAATTGACAAAAAAAAAAAAGCTTTAGAGTTTATTTTACATATAAAGAAAAAATTGTCTTTCAGAGTGTAGTGGTAAGAACACAATGCCATGATGTGTGGGTTAGGAGCACTTCACTGGCTCGAGCTTTGCCTAGTATTTAAGCAAAGAAGGGAGAAGGTCGGGTCCCATTATCTACTTAGTTACGAATTATGCGCCATGGGTCCCCAATTATTTCTTGGTTATCAGGGAAAAAAAGAGTTGTCTTTTCAAACTTCCTTTTCATTTATTTTTTCTCGTTAGTTGAAGCACTTCTCATTTAAAGCCTCTACTTTGTTTTCTTTATGTAAGAAACTTATTGCAGCAACATCAAGTGTGCATTAGAATTCTGCAGTCTTTTCCTACTAATCATCATTGTTTTCCTATATAAATACTTGTCAAAGTCAATGTTACCTTCTCAAAAAAAAAAATATAATACTTGTCAAAGTTGCTTTGTTCCCCCAACTTTTTATGTCTGATATGGTACATGGGTCAATATGTGGATCCATAAATTGCCTTAGTTTTATAAATAATTGGCACGTCTTCCTTTCTCTTGTCATGATTGTCGGACAGAGGCCTTTGATTGTTTTCTTGTTTTCTTTATTATACTTTTGGATTTGAGATACATTCCGTCATGGAAAGGTTACTCACTACATAATCCACAACAGCATGCTCTCTTATGTATTTTGTTTGTTACTTTATCTACAGTTCTGTGTTTCATCTTCCCGTTCATTACTTTTATTTCTTGATATTAGCATATTTAGTTACCTTGTTGGACAAATATATAAGCATTGCACTTCAGCCAGAGAACTATATTGGCATACCATCTATAAATAATAGGTTGTTCAATGAATACAGCATTCATATATATCATTAATATATTTTCAATGAATGCAGACCGCGGGTACTATTCAGTGGAGACTGTCTCACTCTTGGTTGCTCTGAAGGTCCGTTATAGAGATAGAATCACAATTCTTAGGGGTAACCATGAAAGCCGACAAATCACTCAGGTGTAAGTGATTTACTTTTGTGATCTTGAATATTTAATTCATTCTGAGCTGCAAAAATGGCCTATTGAAAAATAACTTTTCTGTTTCTAGATTTCTAGTTTTTTTTTTTTCGATGAAAAGGTTACTTATATTATATTATAATAATAATAACAAAATAGCAACATAATTAAGTCTTCCCTAGATTTCTAGTTTTATGTATGAGGATGTGTGGTTTTGTACACATACGACTCTTGTATTTTATTCTCATCTCTTGGTATTTTGATTCCCAGCTGCTTACACTCCAATTAGTCAAAGAAAATAATAAGTAGAAGAACGTTTATAAGCGATGGTGTAGCATTATCTGGAATAACCTTCTCTGCATCGTTTGGTGAATGATATGTTGGTCTATGCGTTTCAGTTGCTTATCCTTTAACCCATCATGTAAGATATCAGGGTAGTTTTTTTTTTTTGGAAAATTGTTCAGTCAGTGGAACTATCTTGTTATTGTATCTTTCTAGAAGGGACTTCATTATTCCTATTTGCTTATGCCCTCCTTAAAAAAGAACAAGAACTTCAAAATTTAAATCTTGACTTCTATTTTTTTCAGATGTCCTTGGTTAGGGCTTACACTTACTGATACTGATACACAATGTGTGTGTGTGTCTTGTTGAGTGTAGGTCTTCAACTTCTCAATTAGGAGGAATTACTTTTGTATTTCATTGTCTATTGATGGTTTACCAAGGCTGTGAGACTAATATATGCCTGTAGTTCACTCATGTATGGTGGTATTGAGATGCCTCTTTTCCTGACAGGTATGGTTTTTATGATGAATGCTTGAGGAAGTACGGAAATGCCAATGTTTGGAAGTATTTCACTGATCTTTTTGATTATCTACCACTGACAGCACTAATTGAGAGTCAGGTTTGAGATGTTACTCTATTGGCTTATTATTTCAAGAAATGTTCTGACACAAATTTCTAGCTTAACTCTTCTTTTTGTTTTAGGTATTCTGTTTACATGGAGGACTCTCGCCTTCTTTGGATACACTGGATAACATACGATCATTGGACCGTATACAAGAGGTATTGTACTTCAGGTTTTTATGTTTTAATAATACATGATAATGCTCTCTTTTGTATTTACTACTGGCGCTTCTGCTTTCCGCATCTCATGTCTATGATCCATATTTGGCTCGAATGTTTTATTACTCCCTCTATCCAATTTATGTAACACCTCTTTCCTTTTTGGTCAGTCCAATAAGAATGACACCTTTCTGTAGATAATATCAATTTGACTTTTAACTTTTCATTTATCCTTAATGAGATGATTTCTAGCCACACAAATATCTATGACTTATTTTGGACCACAAGTTTTAAAACTCGTCCTTTCATTCTTTATCTCTGTGCCCAGTCAAACATCACAAAGTTGGGACGGAGGGAGTATTTCAATTGAACTTGCCATTGGTGGTTCGGTCCATCGCTATAGTTTATAATAACTTTTTATTAGGATGTATAATTGTATTAATCAAAAGAGATATGTCCCAGTTTACAAGTGTTATGTCGTATTAGTTTACCATAATGTTCAATAGAACTACAAAATCAACTAAAGTTCCAAGAATTGAACAGGAAGGTAGTTGAGTCTATTGATTTCTTTTCTTTTTTATAATTTGTCCTGTATACTTTGCAAATGCTAAGTGTGTCATAGAGGTGTCTTAATGCAGTGCAGTGACATTGTTATCTGCTATGGGAAATGGATCTCCTTTTTCAATTTCCTCATAGCTAGAGATGAGAATTTTCACTTTTATGTCTTCTGATATTTGCCTGTAGGTTATATCTTACAAAATTGTTGTTCTTCATTGCTTCTTGAACATGTGGTCCTGTGGCCCAGTGGTTTCCATTGTTCCTAGTGTTTCATGATTTTAGTTCTATGCACATTAATGTTGCTGGTCCTCATCAGTTAAGTCATTCTGTGTTATCAGGTTCCACATGAAGGACCAATGTGCGATCTTCTGTGGTCCGATCCAGATGATCGATGTGGTTGGGGAATTTCACCCCGAGGGGCTGGTTACACCTTTGGACAGGATATAGCATCTCAGTTCAACCACACCAATGGACTCACTCTGATTTCTAGAGCCCATCAGCTTGTCATGGAGGGTTTTAATTGGTGTCAGGTTTGTGAACCCACTAAACATAACCGCAAGCGAACTACTAGAAAATTTAAAAAGAAAACACTTACGTACCACTTATGTCTATTAAGTTGAAGTTGCCTAGTTATTACTTTGTATTTACATGCTATTTGTTAAAACTTTGACAGGAAAAGAATGTTGTGACAGTATTTAGTGCTCCAAACTATTGTTATCGGTGTGGTAACATGGCTGCAATTCTAGAAATAGGCGAAAACATGGAGCAGAATTTCCTTCAGTTTGACCCAGCTCCACGTCAGACAGAGCCCGACACCACAAGGAAGACTCCTGATTACTTCTTGTGATTCCAATGGTTGCACTAGTTGTTTGTAGCTCATCGATGTCGTATTGCTGTAGATGTGTCTTAAAAAGAGGAGTTTTGTCATTCTTTTGTTTGGAGGTCGTTCTGCAGTTGACTTTGAATATATGTACCTTCTGAGAGTTGAGAAGAGGCACTGAAGGTCTGTCATGTATATTGTTTTCTTAAGGGAGCAGCATTAACATGGTGCATTGTGTCCTATAATTTTGTGCTAGAAACCCAAGTCTTTTGTCAGTAATCAACTAGGTTCCACTAAATTCGTGCGTGGTGATTACTACTGATATTGGTGCCATTTCTAACGGCATTGCCTCCGTCCCCTCTCCTCTCTCTCTCTTTTATGGACATATTTCTAATTGTGCAGAAGGAATACTAGGCGAACGTCTGTATATTTGGTATTCCATAGGATGTATCTTGAGTTGAATTTTCCTCTTCCTTGTGGTCTTTGGTGAATCATAGTTAAAATTTATGTATGACAGTCTAAGTTGAATTAGAATATACAGTTCTTCAAAAATGTTGATACATCTCCAATTTAAAATTTGAGTTTTTTTTTCCTGGCCTAAGCTTTCTCATCGGATGGTTCCTCTTTTTCTCTCTGAATCATATCTTCCACTAGAAGGAAACGATGCGTCTATATGATGTTTGACTATGTACCAAATTTAAATTATTCATTCTAATTTGTATAATAATAATAGTGATCCATGGTGGGTAAAAATAATGAAAGTAATGATCAAAAAGATAATTTGCTTTGAAAAAATGGAGGAAATAATCTCTTTGAACAAAATAAATGTTTTTTTAAAAAATTATTATGCGTAAAATAAAATTTTGTTATAAAACTAAAAATAAGTTTTGTAAAAATGGACCTAACATATAATGTGTTTGGACAAGTACTTGATGTGAAGTGAGTGGTTTAGCAAGTAGCATCGATACTTTTCTCAAAAACTTTGTGGCTTTGACCATTCCTCCATCAAAAATATCCTTTTTATTAGTGGTGGATCCATCTTTTCACTAACAAATGTAATATTTATCTACTACCTCTGAGTTGAACTAAACATGTATGACGAAAGAGAAAAAGATACGTATATTTTTCTCCATTTCAATTTATGTAGCGTGATTTGATAAATTCTTAGTTCAATTAAAATATGTCCAAGCAATATAAAAGCAATCATCATTGAAGAAGAAGATTGTGGAACTTCACTAGCAAATATCCTAGTCATTCTTTCATCTGGTAAAAAACACTATATTCAATACGGTGTACTAGTGAAAAGAAAAGAAATGAGGGAATATAAAGTTATTGGACTAGAAGCCATGATTCGAATTAGTATAAAAATCTCGATGTCAACTGTTCTTTAACGCATCATATAAATTGTTATATTCATTAATCATCTAATCTGCAAGAAATTTTGACTTGATATAAATAACAGTCGTTTGATAATTCAATTAACTTTCAAACAAACAAATCTATTTCGATTACTTTTCCCTTTATTACATTTTATAATAACACCAAATAAAACCATGAGTGACATTGACAAGGATAGTATCAACTTGGTACTATAATCACCTAAGACCGCAAAAATAAAGCAAAGACATAATTAACTAAGCAACAAAATCATCACAACTAATGAAAACAACACCATATCTATACAACAAAACAAAAGCAATCATCATCTTCAATCACCTAATTAATATTTTCTCCATAATCTAATCCCACTAATTAATATCCAATCTTATCTAACTAATAATTAAACCCCACTTAATTACATCACATGTATCTTAAATTAACTAATAACAGCAATCATCATTCTTCAAGCCACACTAATTATACTATCCCCACTAGTACTACCACTGAAGCCACCAGACATCGCGGGCTGAAAAGCCGGCGAATGCCTCGATGGCGGCGACGATTTTTCACTTGTCGCCGCCACCGATGCTGACGTGGACAGATTTAAATTGAGATCTGCCATTTTTGATGAAGGAGGGACAGGAAGAGCTGGTATTGGTCTAATAGGCTTCATGGATTTGTTCATCCCTATCGTGAAATTCTCCGACGAACTTTCTCCGGTGACCGGTAACTTCACCGACGGCTCGAACCGGAAAGCTGACATCCGGCAATCAATCATTTGCTTATTATCTTCCAATTTAGCAGCACCCTGAACCTAAAACATTGGAAAAATCAAATTAGATACGATTGATTCAACTGAACCTATTACTTTTTTATTCGATTCGTACGTATAACGAAAATTAAAATGTTACCTATAACAAATTGCACCTATGTGGAATTTTGAACAGAAATTGTAAATTATTATGAGCAAATAGTAATTACGTAATTTTTATAAGCTATAGGCTTACTGTATCGGTGGTGATGTCGAAAAGACTAGACCTCCGGCGTCTACGATTACTGTTATTACGCCGGAGGAAGTACTTTTGAGCATGACTGGCTACTTGAGTTGGAGTTCTTGTTTTGACGAAGTTTCTAGAAATTCCTCTCCAATCACCTTTTCCTACTTTCTGTAATCCTAGCAAGAATAGTTTGTGCTCTTCTTCTGTCCATGCTACACCTAACCACCACGCATAAATTCGAATTATTATTTTTTTAAATGGAAAAAACAATTCATGTGAAATGAGTAATGTAAAGATATATTGTACCTCGTTTACGTTCACGACTCCTAGCTGAAGGATGAACAACGTCATCAGAAGCATAGCCGGTGTTAGACTGATCTTGGTGCTGCTGCTCGGTGTCCAATAAAGCTAGATTGTTCATACTAGCACTTTTCCTAAATGAACCACCAGTAGCAGCAGCACCTTCCATCATTCTAACACCAAAGAGCATGAACCCCTTCGCCAACGTTCGGGGTTCATGCTCTTTGTTTCCACTTTGGACGAAGAACTGATCGTTATTAGACATGGTGGCTAGGCAATTTGATATTTTGTGAGGAAAAATTGAATGATTTATTTGTTGGCGTAAACCATATGCTAAAATGAAGGAAATGAGAAAAAAAAAAAACAATAAAGGAATGGTTATGTTTAGTGATTAATGACTATATAGTACTAAAGTATAGTCAATTTTTTAAAAGGCCCAGTGATGCTTCGAGGAAGCAACTTCTATCTAATTTTATTTATTTTTTGAGAAAATACTCGTAAACTTGATGTAAATCAGTAGTATCGTTCTCGAACTATTGATAATCTTAAAAATATCTTTTTATTTGACTAATTAAACTTAGGTACACCTCCGATCTGCCACACAAATTATAAATGAATGGTGCTTAGTTATTTTTTTCATTTATAGAAATAAAAAAATCGAGAATAACTCAAACAACGTAACAAGTTATTGTATTGCATATTTACTTTTTGAGAACACTCTGAGGGTGAATATCAATTAGTACTATTTTTAAAAAAAATACATAACTAAACTTTACATCTTCACTTATCATTGATCTTAGCTTCATATTTTTTTATCATATCTCAAAATTGTCATATTGTATTATTTTACTATTCGAAAGTAAATATTTTTATTCACACGATGAAGTGATGCTTTTTTATAGTACTCTTAAAACATTGATGTTGTCCAAAGGATTAGATGATCTCTCATATTGATGTAAAGACGTTGCGTTTTTGGCTTGAAATGCTTTGGTTCATAGTGGGACGAAAAAGATAATAAGAGTACCAATTATTCATATAGTAAAATGACAACTAAATTAGTCACGTGGCCAAATCAAACAAAGATAAAATTTTAAAAATAAAGGATGGTGGAAAGAGCATAGTGACTCTCCACCATCAAAATGGTATATTCTCCAATCCTTTTGGAAAGATATGGTTGTCTCTATTTGCTTATTAAAGTATATTATATACACATTTGATGGTAGGGATTCATTTACCAATGTTGGTTGTGGTGTATTGGTGAGACTATTTCATCTTGGTTTTGAGTTTAAATTCAGAGTATGAAGAAAATCGCGTTGTAAGCGATACTCCCAAATGAACTCTGCAGTTTGCAATCCAAATTTAATCGAACCTTTCAATGCGTGCTTCAAATACCGAATGAAAAAAAGAAGAAGAGAGAAAGATGTAGGGGTTAAAAGTCATTAAGACCCCACTCATCTACTCTTTTCTTAATTGTGTGGTTTTAGTGGATGTCCTTTTAGTTCAATCCTTGCTTTTTCTTTTTCTTTTCCCCTTTACTTTATGTGATCCAAAGTATTAAGCACCTTTGAGTTGAATACAAGATCCATACGTCTTGATCTTGGCATATTCTAACCATTAAAAAAGGGGTTCGTTTTGTATAACTAGTTAGAGTTATACATATATTAGTAATATATGAATAAATTTATATATTATTTTATATAGAAATTATTATTTATGTATTAGTTATTTCATCTTTTATACTGTATAGAATAATATATATATTTTCATATTAGTTATGAGAATTTCTAAATTCCAAATCAAATATCATATAATTTTATACGTAAATAATTTATCTCCTAATCATCTATCAAAACATAGTATACTTTATGCAAAATTTAATACAAGCATAATTCACATCTAAACTAACTATCAAACGACCCCTAAATGTTGTAATAAATTGAATTACAAGATGATAACATAAGAATTTAACCAAACGACCTCTAAATGTTGTAATAGATTGAATTACAAGATGATAACATAAGAATTTTATAAAATGTAAAATTTTTCCCTTACACGAAATAATAAATCAATCAATATTTAAATTAAACATATAAAAGCCAATAATATAATGGTTAGGTGTGGGTTTATTTTTTCTTGCCCCTTTCTCCTTTTTCAAATCTTCCAATAATGTAATATATAAAAAAAAACATTACAAAAGGAAACCACCACTATTTCACTTTATTAATTAATAAAATAGGTCATAGTAGTCTTATGTGATTCTAAGCTGGAAAAGAAAAGGAATAAATATGAAATATAAAAAATTGAAGAATACCTCTTTAAAATTGAAAATATATTTTTTTACATCTAATTTGTATTGATTGGAGACAAATTAAATTAAAATATCCTCTAGTTTAATTTGACGCACGATTATTAAATCTAATATACTCAAAACCGTCAATTGCTAAAGGTCCACAATTGCTTTCCTTCAACTTGATTTCTCCTAATCGATTTGTGTCCACAAATTTTCTTGGAAAATCCAAAATATTTCTCGTCTACAAGCACTATATATATGTGTGTGTGTTGTGTGCACGAATACAATATTTATTCATAAATTTATTTTTATAAATGATATATTAGTTAA